GAGAGGAATGCACATTTGCTTCCAGGATGGCCCTAGGGTCTGGCCCCACCCTTGGAGACTTAACCCCTGGGTCATAACTTTGAAACGGTTAATATCCCCACCCCAAAACTATATATACAATTGTTGGGCATAAAGAGACGAATGCAGTCATGATATTAGAATTGACCCAAGGGTCTGCCCCACCCTTGCAGACATAACCCCTGGGTCATAACTTTGAAACGGTTGAGATCCCCACCCAAAAACGTAATATACAAATGCTGGGCAAAAAGAGACAATGCAGTCATGATATTTGAATTGATCCTGGGGTCTGGCCACAACCCTAGGGACCTAGTTTCTGAGTCACAGCTTGGAAACAGTTGAGATCCCCACCCCATAACCTTACATAAAATTGCTGGGCATAAAAAAATGATTGGCCTTGAGGTCTGGCATATTCCGTTGGATCTCATTTGGAGAATATTTTGCCATGATTGCTTAGATATCCAGGTGAGCGATACAGGCCCTCTGGGCCTCTTGTTATATATACTCTAACCTCGGCCTTGAAAGATTGAAGAAAATACATGTTCCTGATATAACAGCATTAGACACTCAAACAACTTATCACCAAACTTGTGTATTAGTTGAGGTTTTCTTGTTTTAACAGTATGTTACAAACCACGTGAGTTTCCTCCAGTACATGCTGCAAGAGGGTGCACTCTATCTTCCATGGAGTCGGGCGCGGGATATCTGGGGCACGCTGATTGGCAGTCCAGATGCCTGTGACTGGGACAGGGAGGTGAGTAAATAGATATGTATTTACCACGCTATGGCACTGCCACTATATTACCCTACTAAGTTCAGATGACATTCATATAAGCTATGAATGTTACGACCCACAAGATGTCATCATTATTATGCTGTCATAATTGTAATGATAGATACCACTGACCCTCCTTTGAAGATGGCTGTTTTGTTCATTGAACAAGTATACACAATGCGGACTCTAACTGAAATATTGGGTGCTTCATAGCTTCCATTTGAGGTTTTGAGCTAAAATCAGCCCACATATGAACTTCACCCGTAATTACTGTGGAATATAGTTAGCCTGAATCAGCTCCTTATCTGAAGGATTCTGTTTTATTGGAACATTTGAAAACAAACCTCGACTTTTGTTATGTATTTGATACGATGAGGTTTTGTTTTACAGACCTGTTATGATTGGTTCAGTCACGGACTCACTGACCTGGAGATGGAAACACAGAGCCAGCTGTTCCAGAAAGAGTTGTTAAAGCTAGACCCAGCTAAACTTAGTGAGAAAGGTAACAGTAATTTCTAGTCCTAAGATTACGTCAGAATTGCTTGTTTGCCATCAGTGTTGAAATGTATACTACTAATGAAGCTTTCAAATTTTATATATTCAGTTATGAAAACTATAGATGTGGGACTTAAACTTTTTGGAGATTTAATTTGATAGTGATACATTTTTTGTTACAAAATTTGATCAACAATGGTAAAGTTCTAAATACTTCAGATATTTCATAAATTGATTGACAAGTGCTTTCTTAATTTTGATTGGTTGACAGTTGGTGAATGTGATTGGTTGACAGTTTGCAAATGATATCTGAAATATGTTTTATCATCATAACAAATCAGTGTAATCAATGTAAATTTTAGCACACTCAAATGTCTCTGTCACCCTCATAAGACTTGAACATTACAGAAAGGTTATTGAACCTTTTGATTTCAGAGGCAATAAGCTGTTGCCTAAAAAATATTGTTTGTTTGATTACAGGTTTTACCTGTTTTAAAAGCTTCTTTGAAAACGTCAATAAATTTGAGCATCGCCTTAAATCTGACGGGAATAAATTGGTAAGTGGGAGAAGATTATGTATGGAGTTGTTAATAATGACAATATATTACACCATACAGTGTCCATCATCTGACTAATAGTACACCATACAGTGTCCATCATCTGACTAATAGTACACCATACAGTGTCCATCATCTGACTAATAGTACACCATACAGTGTCCATCATCTGACTAATAGTACACCATACAGTGTCCATCATCTGACTAATAGTACACCATACAGTGTCCATCATCTGACTAATAGTACACCATACAGTGTCCATCATCTGACTAATAGTACACCATACAGTGTCCATCATCTGACTAATAGTACACCATACAGTGTCCATCATCTGACTAATAGTACACCATACAGTGTCCATCATCTGACTAATAGTACACCATACAGTGTCCATCATCTGACTAATAGTACACCATACAGTGTCCATCATCTGACTAATAGTACACCATACAGTGTCCATCATCTGACTAATAGTACACCATACAGTGTCCATCATCTGACTAATAGTACACCATACAGTGTCCATCATCTGACTAATAGTACACCATACAGTGTCCATCATCTGACTAATAGTACACCATACAGTGTCCATCATCTGACTAATAGTACACCATACAGTGTCCATCATCTGACTAATAGTACACCATACAGTGTCCATCATCTGACTAATAGTACACCATACAGTGTCCATCATCTGACTAATAGTACACCATACAGTGTCCATCATCTGACTAATAGTACACCATACAGTGTCCATCATCTGACTAATAGTACACCATACAGTGTCCATCATCTGACTAATAGTACACCATACAGTGTCCATCATCTGACTAATAGTACACCATACAGTGTCCATCATCTGACTAATAGTACACCATACAGTGTCCATCATCTGACTAATAGTACACCATACAGTGTCCATCATCTGACTAATAGTACACCATACAGTGTCCATCATCTGACTAATAGTACACCATACAGTGTCCATCATCTGACTAATAGTACACCATACAGTGTCCATCATCTGACTAATAGTACACCATACAGTGTCCATCATCTGACTAATAGTACACCATACAGTGTCCATCATCTGACTAATAGTACACCATACAGTGTCCATCATCTGACTAATAGTACACCATACAGTGTCCATCATCTGACTAATAGTACACCATACAGTGTCCATCATCTGACTAATAGTACACCATACAGTGTCCATCATCTGACTAATAGTACACCATACAGTGTCCATCATCTGACTAATAGTACACCATACAGTGTCCATCATCTGACTAATAGTACACCATACAGTGTCCATCATCTGACTAATAGTACACCATACAGTGTCCATCATCTGACTAATAGTACACCATACAGTGTCCATCATCTGACTAATAGTACACCATACAGTGTCCATCATCTGACTAATAGTACACCATACAGTGTCCATCATCTGACTAATAGTACACCATACAGTGTCCATCATCTGACTAATAGTACACCATACAGTGTCCATCATCTGACTAATAGTACACCATACAGTGTCCATCATCTGACTAATAGTACACCATACAGTGTCCATCATCTGACTAATAGTACACCATACAGTGTCCATCATCTGACTAATAGTACACCATACAGTGTCCATCATCTGACTAATAGTACACCATACAGTGTCCATCATCTGACTAATAGTACACCATACAGTGTCCATCATCTGACTAATAGTACACCATACAGTGTCCATCATCTGACTAATAGTACACCATACAGTGTCCATCATCTGACTAATAGTACACCATACAGTGTCCATCATCTGACTAATAGTACACCATACAGTGTCCATCATCTGACTAATAGTACACCATACAGTGTCCATCATCTGACTAATAGTACACCATACAGTGTCCATCATCTGACTAATAGTACACCATACATTGTCCATCATCAGACTAATAGTACACCATATAGTGTCCATCATCAGACTAATAGTACACCATAAAGTGTCCATCATCAGACTAATAGCACACCATACAGTGTCCATAATCTGACTAATAGTACACCGTACAGTGTCCATCAGCTGACTAATAGTACTCCATTCAGTGTCCATCAACTGACTAATAGTACACCGTACAGTGTCCATCAGCTGACTAATAGTACTCCATTCAGTGTCCATCAACTGACTAATAGTACACCGTACAGTGTCCATCATCAGACCAATAGCACACCATACAGTGTCCATAATCTGACTAATAGTACACCGTACAGCGTCCATCATCAGACTAATAGCACACCATATAGTGTCCATCATCAGACTAATAGTACACCATATAGTGTCCATCATCTGACTAATAGTACACCATACAGTGTCCATCATTTGACTAGCACCTCATTCTCCGCCAGCCTATTACCTTTTTAGGTAACCTGAGCTTTAGCTCAAATGACCTATTGCTATCCGTTTTCGTCCGTCGTCGTCCGTCGTCCGTTAACATTTTACATTTCAAACTTAAAGTCAAGTTCTGCTGGGCCGATTGAACTGAAAGTTGGTAGGAATGATCGCCTCATGGTCCTGACAAAGTGTTGTTATTTTTCGGGTCGATCAGAAATCCAATATGGCCGCCACGGCCGCCATTTTGAAAACCTATTTCAAACTTAAAGTCAAGTTCTGCTAGGCCGATTGAACTGAAACTTTGTAGGAATGATCAGCTCATGGTCCTGACAAAGTGTTGTTATTTTTTAGGTCAATCAGAAATCCAATATGGCCGCCACGGCCGCCATTTTGAAAACCTATTTCAAACTTAAAGTCAAGTTCTGCTGGACCGATTGAACTTAAAGTTTGTAGGAATGATAGACTCATGGTCCTGACAAAGTGTTGTTATTTTTCGGGTCGTTCAGAAATCCAATATGGCCGCCACGGCCGCCATTTTGAAAAACTATTTCAAACTTAAAGTCAAGTTCTGCTAGGCCGATTGAACTGAAACTTTGTAGGAATGATCAGCTCATGGTCCTGACAAAGTGTTGTTATTTTTCGGGTCAATCAGAAATACAATTTGGCTGCCATGGCCGCTATTTTGCTACTAAATTCTAATAGGCCGATCTCACTTAAAATTGGTCTAGGAATGATCAGCTCATGGTCCTGACAAAGTTAAGTTAACATTATACTATTTTTTACTCAAATTGGTACATATTTCAACAAAAAAATAAATACTGTAGACTCAGGTGACCGTTAAGGCCCATGGGCCTCTTGTTATTGATAACAGTTCCTTTATACATCCCCCTTGATAAAACACCTTCACGTTGCCCAATTGTCACTTAAAAATGATTGCTGTTTTGAGATTGAAAAGGAAACTACAAAAAGACGCTCAAAATGTACGACATAGACTTTGTCATTTTGGACAGCCTTTCTTGTGTTCGTTTAGCAACAATGTAAGTGTAATCCTAATCAGCAACAACATTAGCAGGTTCACTAATAATCATTGACAAGATTGTGGGGTACATATCAACAGTAACAGGGAAGGGCCAAGTTACGAGTCAATTGACAACAGTGTAGTGTATACTTATGAATTTAATGTGAACAGGTTGTAGAGAAGAGTGAGCTGCTTGGACTTGACTATATTTGGGAGATCTGCCTCAATACACCAGACGAATCCATTGCCAGCCAAGCCATTTCTCTGTTGTTGTCTGTTCTCTACACAAACCTGGCACCAAGACTTAAAAAGGTTGGTAACGTCCTCTATCCACCAACAATGGTTGGTTGGAAGACTTAGTGTATTTTGTCATTACATTGTAAGATCTGGTGTAGTTGACAGAGTCTGTATGCTGGTAGTTCAACTTCAGAATGATAGACAGTGTATGTTGAACATGCATACAGGACCCTGAAATAATAGCAAGGATAATTAGGAAAGTTTTTGCTTTTTACAAAAACGTTGAGTGTTTAAGCATGTCGCTAACTTTTTGCAGATCATCCGATCTGTTTTTCACAGGCTGAAAATGAGTGAGCATTTTACATTGTTCACCTGTTATATGTGGTGAGAGATTGGTGACTTTTTATTCACTTGCTTATCGGGCAATTATTTTTCAAATTGAATATATGCAAGGATATTTATTGTTGTACGGGAAGAGTGAATTGTTTGCATTTGACTGTATTTATGAAAATGTACATTGGTACCAGGTATGTGAAGTATAGATGAACTGATTGAAACCTGATGACATTATCATCATGTGGATTGAAACACCTAGACTAAAATCTGTGTTGGATTTACAGGATTTGGTTCAAGTCAGATGTCAGTGAATTCAGGTTCAGATATGTTCTGTATTAAAGAATTAATTTTTTGTTTTTGTTTTGTTTTGTTTTTAGGACCCTGTGATACTACACAAGAAATTTATAGCTGACAGCAAGAGCAGACTAGAGGTATGATTCTAGGTTGAATTTAGAGGAATGATAGGTGTATTACATTGTTTTGAGAACTGATATAGAATTCTGTGCTAACAATGATCATATTACTGTGAATTACTTGCATTTCTAGTAAAAAAAATCTTCTTAAAATCAAATTCAGCATCAGTCACAAATTTCTAAAATGAAATAATTTTGAATATGTTGGCACTTGTCAATCAAGAGTCACTGAAGTTTTTCAACCTCTACTCATAAAATTTTAGTAATTTTTCATTTCAAGAATTAGGGAAAAAAATATCCAAAGTGGAAGTTCTAGTAAACCAGTGATCAAGCTAACACGGCAGTTAAATGTTTTCATTTCAGCTTCATTTTCTTCTAAATATGATATCTAGGGGTAATGTATGACATGAAGTTTATCTCAAGATACTTTATCACTTTACAGGCGGCCATGATTGGTATAGGTGGCACTGTGATAGCTCAGTCAATCTCCTGGGCAACCAAAACACTGACAGCAGCCATTGTACCAGAAGTGGCCAATGTGCCTTTACCATCTCGGTAAGATCAACTTTAGTAGTGTTCTTACTGAATGTGCCTTTACCATCTCGGTAAGATCAACTTTAGTATTCTTACTGAATGTGCCTTTACCATTTCGGTAAGATCAACTTTAGTAGTGTTCTTACTGAATGTGCCTTTACCATCTCGGTAAGATCAACTTTAGTAGTGTTCTTACTGAATGTGCAACTAATTACAGGAAGATGTTTGTATCTGACCAAAAACTGTTAGTTGTTGTTATAAGGAAGTCTTATTTAGGGTATAGTTTAAAAGAGGAAAGGACATTTTTGACCAAGGCAAATACTCCATTAAATGTCGCCATTGATGTTCTGTCCGAATAATATCAAATATCCTGTTACTTTATAGAAATATTAGCCAGTCAAATGTCTTGTTGTAGGAATTATTACCAGTCAAGTGTTAGGTTAAATCAATATCATAGCTAGTCCTTTAATACATATTTTAAATAGATATTAATTATCACATGTCCGTTGGTGATTTTAGAAGGCTGTCAAATGAAGTGCTGAATAATTGGTAGCCAATCAAGCCCTTTTTGATAATAATAGTTAATCGAAAATCTGTTGACTGTTTTAGGAACATAAAGCTAATGAACATTGAGCGTTTGATGTGGATCGCGGAGGAGTATGTACTGAATGTGGAGGAGACGCACCACACAACACGCACCATTCTCCCCCATGGCGCATCCTTCCATGGACACCAGATGAACCTCACTGTAACGTCTGAGTCACCCAAACAAGAATTCTTACTTGTGGTGTGTAATGCCTGACGCAACCAATCATCAACCTACTGTTCACCCACTCATAAACAAGCTTGAATCACACACTATCTGCTACCATCTGTCACAAACTTAGTAATGTTCGTTCTTGGTTAGTCACATGGTGTATGAAGCTAGCTTATCACGTGTGATTCAATTCCACAGTAATGAAACAACTTTTTGCATTTGAAACTCAATAATCCAAATGGTTGTACAACAAAACCTGACTTAAGTGAAACAAAGGGAGACTGGATTATATTGTCTGATATGACAAGATGTCAGAAAAATCTGGGAGAAAGAGAGTAGCCAACATTTTTGCCCATAAAAACATGTCGATTATTACAGGACATTCTTAAGGTCAGGATTCACTTCATAAATTTGATTGTTTGCTATAGTTTTTATGCTGAAGTATTAAAACTGTATTGAAAAATAATCTGTTTATCAAACACAAATTTTGACCACCATATCCACCAAATCTTGTATAGTTGTTTACAAACTTTTCTGTCAATAGATAATCATTTATTGGTTATGTTTTTTCAGTGTCATAGCAATGAGACACTTGGATCTATACGTTCAAAAATATCCAGCAAGCTACGACAGACACCAGAAAACATACAGGTCGTCACTCAGGACAAAATGGTATGGAACATTTTCAGTTAACTGTATTTTCTTTACCTAGAAAATTAAGACATTAATGAAAAGATGTTTGCAAATTTGAATTTCCAAATCAATTAGAAGAAAAGAATTATAGAAATATAAGACCAGATGAAAAACTCGTACTATTTATCATGTGTTCAGTGTGTTCAGTGAATTTAAATCTTGAAAATGAGTCGAAATTAAAATCTGTCCGCAGTCAATAAATATATGCTGCTATCACGGCACTGGCTAGTGTGGACCAAAATCTTGATAATGAAATAAAGTTTTTGACAGATCAAGGAGTATGTAGAATTACCCAGGGGTATCTGATGAATTCTGTTAAGAGGGAAGTTTTTGACCAGGAAATGTGATTAATGAGACCTGTCATTTTAAGCTGGGGATCAATGATGACCAGAAGCTGTTAAATCAGCTCGAGATTGAAGACAACCAGGTGATACAAGTACGACTGGCCACGTCCTCAGCTCTCCAGTCCTCACAAGTCAAGGAGGTAAGTACATGCCCATCAAGTGATTACCTATAGTGCAATGCAACGCATGACTAGATAGCTTAATGACAATTTAGCATTTATTTTTCTCGTAATATTTTTGTGGAAAACAATGAAAACAAATTCATTAGATTTGCATGTTTTGTTGTAAGAATATAAAAACTGTAACACAAAACAATTTGTAAAATTTTAAGGCATTTAAAAAAAAGGATTTTGATTATTGTTTTAGGTTAATTGATAACAGTGACAAAAGTGTGTGCTTAAACTAGCCGAGCCTTGATTCACTATGCTATATTTGTTAGATGATCTGAACTATAGGTACAACACACTCTGATGTTTCCATTAAGTCTCACATGCCAAACCAATATGTAAATGATACGGAAACACAAACAATTTTACTGTGACAGTAAACTGAAATGTTAACTTGTATCATGATGGTAGTTTGATCCTGTTTAAATCCTCGAAGACTGTTCTGTTTTATCAGAGAGAAAAATCCAAATAAAAACATGCAATATATCGGATGTAAATTTTATACGACCGTCGAATGATGGGACATAATATATGTTATCACGTGAGCGGGCTGGCGTGTGGGTGGGCGGGTGTGTGGGTGGGCTGGC